AAAAAAAAAAAAAAAAAAAAAAATTAAAATAAAAAAAAAACCATGTTGAAAAAAAAAAAGTGAACAAAAACAAACTCTTTTTTCCTTCTCGGCCCAAAATTTTTCGAGCTTTTCAAAAGCTATAAATTCCACTTTCCGAGATATATCCTTTATAAGCAGACCGCTCATTTCAGTAAAAACGGCCTTGAACATAGCATGCAAATAATTTTCACGAAGAGCCATCTAAAACAGTAACACGATGATGTTACCTGAAGCCGTGAAAAAAAGGCAAGCGCAGAAGCTTGGACAAAAAGGGATTATAAGACATTCTCGTAACCTTATTCTCATATTCTATTTCTTTTTCCCGTTGTTTCCTTTTCAACTCTTCTTCTGCCGCCTTCTTTTCAGCAGCAATTTTTGCTTCGATTTCTTTCTCCCTATTTCTCTTTTCTATCGCAGAAGCTTCCTCAGCGCTACTATGTTGCGAAGGAGGAGGCGGCTGTATCGAAAGCGTGTAGTGCATAGCCGGATTTGAAGGATTTTGCTGAAAATGTCCTCAATTGCACGAAGCTATATAGAACTCTGGCAGTGCTTCTTACCCTACAGAACCCATAAAATCATCAAAAATTTCAAACGCAGAGCAACACACTGCTAGTCACTGAAAACAGGAAAGAGCAAACAAAGGACTAGCTAAAAAAATCTAAATTTACTGACCTAAAAATAAAGTATAGTCTATTTTATCGTACTGTGTCTTCTACATTTCACAAAATTGCCTCAGTAACACTTTGCCATAGTACGACTAGTCACAAATTTCAAAAATTGAAAAATAAAGTCCAATCTGAGAATAACTAACAAAAATTAAATGTATTTTGAAAACTAAAACCCACCGCATTTGGAAAAGATATTCTCGAACTACAAATATCTGTTCCAGAAATTTTTGATCTGAAATATTGTAATAAAAAAGTCAGATGCGTATCACTCAAAAAGAAACAGTGAGAAGTAAAGTGCACTTGTAAAACTCTTCAATGAGATTTTTGGAGAAAAACCTAGACTTACTCGAAGGATGAACTGATTAAAAAATTGGAACAGGATGTCATAATCGCTTGCCTTCCATAATCTTTTGGCAAAAAACCTGTTCCAGACGAGTTATCACACGTCACTAAAAATTCATACCTCAACTTTCCGTTACAAAGAACCAATTTATCAGATATTAACCTGAAATAAAAGTAATTATTAGAAAACGGCTGACCAGTAACAGATGGAGGATGAGTTCCCAAAGATAACTGCGGTGAAATCTGCTGCTGACTTTCCTGCTGAAAAAAGATAATATTAAAGAGTATATAACAAGCCAGAAGAAACACCAAAATGAATGTAGAACCAAGTACCGGTTCTTTCAATGGCGGGCAAAGTAAACTTTCCAAGCGTTGGTCGATAGAAGGGCGGACCTGGTTCAAGGAGGGAACAGCAGAATTTTTGTCATAATACAATGGGGAAGGAACGCTCAACGAAGATGAGACTTTAGACACCGCTATGGCTGACTGACTGTTTGAACGAGACATACGAATATTTGCTAAAAATCGCTATAAATGAAGTTCAAGTACAATAAGCATATCACTGAAATAATTTAAATTGGGATATTATTTTTCAAAAAGAATGAAAATCTGGAGTAACAAATCATAAATTACCAGCGTTTCTGCTCATACTTTCACTTGATGCGAAGTTTTTAACTGAACTACCCTCAGATTCGTTGCTACTGTCACTCACCGCTTCTGCCATATCCTAAATTGCTAGTGAGCATAGCGCGAAACTAGCAGAGCACCCACAGAAAAATATAAGTAATCAGATAAAAACCCAAGTCTTTCATCATGCAATATAACTCATTAAAGATACCAAAATATCAAAGTCCTTCTTCTTCGCTTCTTTCCTTGAAAAGCTTGTCGCCCGTCTATCGCCTTTAGTGTAAACCTCACGATGCCTTAAATTGAAACGGAAAAATAGGAAAATTATTTCAAAAGCGCTGACGATAAACAAAGTTTTTGCGAAGCTCACTTCAAAAAAAGCTGTTTTCTCACTGGATAGTCTTCGTCAGAATCGGTCGAAGAATCATCTGAGGTGGAAGACCAACGGTGCACTTCCTCTTCAAGTCCACTTTTTCCTCCTCTCCTAGACCGAACTGTAGTGCTAAAATTAGTAAATAATAATAATAGAAAAAATAAATATTACAAAGCTGCAAAAACAATTATCGGTACTTCTTGTTATTGTAATATCCCTTGCGAAAAACTCGTCTATACTTTGAATATCCGTTCTTCGCAAATAAGTTGTCCTTAGAGAAATCACGCTGAAAGATCCTCTATAAAAATACCTTTGCGCAAATACATTCTTCACTTGAACTTATGAAAATGTGAAAAAGTTACAGACCAAACGAATTAACCGCAAGCGATGCAAAAATACAGAACAAAATAAACTAGATACTACAGAAAAATTAGAAACTACTAGTAAGCTGAATGTACCTTCACTCCACAGTAGGATCCTACAGAATGTGTATGATCGCCTCTGGGAGACAACTTATCATCTTCCTCCTCGCTACTAACACTTTTTAAATCTGGTAGATCTAATTCACCAGGTTCCAAGTCATCGCCATCACGTGAATCGTAACACGTCGATGGCTTCGCCCTCCTTTGCGTCTTATATCTTAAATGTGCATATGATCAAAAAAGAGATCTCAGCAAAAGAAAGTAATGACAACTAATCTTATTAAACCAACGTTTCAAACACTCAAAAACCTACTCCCGAATCCTTTGGTAACTTTGGACCTTGCGCACTATTCCAGATGATCTGCGTCCAGATTGCTTCCTTTCCTTAGGATCATCGACAGTACGGATTACAACTTCCTAAAAAAAAAAAGAGCAGCCACTTCAATTGAAACTCTGATTTCTTGTAAGCAGAAAACAAAAATATTACGAAAGTATATCAGCAAAATGCATTATAACTGAAAAAAGTTTCCATAACAAAAGAAAAATAAAAGAAAACTGTAAACCCAAAAATAAAAAATAAAAACTCCGTGCCGATTGCCTTGTTTCTTCGCCTTGAAACTTACAGTAGACTTTTTCTAAACCACCTTTTTATACAAAATTATTTTGCTTGGACAGAGTAAGCTCAACAAAACTAGGTGAAAAACGGCAAAGCAACATACTTTATAGTAGTCCTTCGAACCCTCAGGCCCCCGAATTTCCAAATACTTTCGTTTCTAAAAGTTAATCGATCACAACAGCTAATCATAAAACAAAAAAATCTGAAAAGCTTCTCTTAGTAACTTAACTCTTCCATCTTACCAGACCCCACTGTCTTTGAAAAAAAATCTCAGATCCTTCAAAGCAAAATCTGAAAAAAAAAAAGCAAAAAGAAACCTCCACAACAGCTTTCCCTTTGTGTTTTCTATCCCGGCGTTTTTCTAAATGGTCAACTCCGGGTTTTTGATAGACACTTATGGTACTATCCTCATCACTTATCGTTTCCGCGCCGCTAGTGGAGAAATATGACGAAGACGAAGAACGCTTTCTCTTACGACAATGCTTCGCGGCAGAGTCAGATGAACCTAAAAGTAACAATCCGTCAACGAATGTTGCTCTAAAACCAATGTTGAACTAGCAAGAAAACTTCTACTCACTCGTAAATTCATAGCTTCAAATTGAAAATATTTATTCTCATTCATTTACTTTAAAAGTTTCAAACAACTGTAAAAAAATAAATAAAAATCACAGAACCCGCTTTTCCTCCTTTTTTAAAAAGATCTCGTCCGTGATGCGCTTTAAATCTCTGGCTCCCTTCCGCTGTTTTTACAAAAAAATCATCAGTCTCTCCTTTCGTTTTCTAAAAATGGTAAAATAAACCAGAGAATAATCAGGACTTCTTAAAAAAATCTCATTCATACAAAGATTTCTGTTACAATCACGGTAAAGTTGGAAAAATAAAACTTCATAAACATGCACAATATACATATAAATGATAAATAAATGTGTTTATTTGTTAATTAATTAATTAATTAATTCGCATATTATTTTTATACCTTCAGAGAAAAATGGCTTTTCGCTGAACCGCCCACTGTTGAAAAACTGTGATTACTTGACAGCTCCGATGACTGCAACGCAGAAGAACATTGTACAGAAGGTATATGACTGGATGAAACCGGAGGTATTGGAGGTGGAGGTGGAGGAACTGGTGGCAGCGGCGGTGGAGCAGGCGGCAAAGAGCACTGCCAACCTGTAAACTTTTACTCCACGGGTCTGCATATTTTTAATTGTAAAGAATGAAAAACCACAGAGAGATCTATGTAACTGTTAAAAAATCGACTTTAAAAGCTGGAATAGTAAGAAGACGTCCTTGTGCTTAAGCGACAAATAACTCGTAAAGTAGCCAAAAAAGTGGAACAATAAAAAATCATTTCAACGGGACAAACCTTTTTCTGACGGTAGTGGAGGTACTACTGGCTCTGGAGAACAAAGTGGTGGCGGGTTTAATGGTAATGCGGAAAAGGGTAGGTGGACTCCATGAGGTACCACCCGAGGAAAGCCTACGGGTAACGGTGGTGGTGGAGCAGATGGTAAAAAATAAGGTACCCCTCGAATAGGCAATGGAGGTGGTATTGGAGCTGGAGGACACGCTGATGTAGACGGTCGCACCAAATCAAAAGGCATTGTTGGTGGAGGAGGCAAAACTGATGTGTGACGCTCGACACAAGTGAGATTAACATGAGGAGATGACGTAGAAGATGGCATTCCGGATGTCGACGGAGTGCCCAAATGCATTGATGTGCTTGAAGAAGGGACATCAGAAGAAATGGGTGAACGTACTTTTTTATGATCAAAATGATTTTCAGCAGGAGTAGACGATAAAAGAGGTGTTGAGGGAGACTCTCCGTCTTTATTTGTCGCCTTAGCAAAAAAATCTATAAATTAAATACAAATTAACTCCAACAGCAGTGAAAAAAAAGGGACAAGAAAATTGCGAGATGAAAAGTTCAAACCTGATTCTGAAGAATGAGATAATTCAGGCTTCGTAAATAAATCTTTGAATTCATATGTAGATTCTGCCTGACCTGCAGGACTTCCCTAATAAAAATCCCCTATTACCTTTAATACAAAACAATACGTTTTATAAGCAATAAACCAAAAAGCCACACTGGCTCAGAATTCGCAACTCTCGATAAAACTTACTCTAATGGTACAACCCTTATTCTCCAAATAATCGCCCCTTAAACTCTTTAACTTTTCCCTGCTGACATTCCTCAAGTAGCGAGGTACCGGTGCTTCCTCACAAATAATTTCTTCAAAACGTCGACTGATCATGGTCGCTAAAAGATTTATAAGGCTTTCCACAAGACCAAGAAAAATATGCAGTGATGCACATTATCTGACAAACGTAATCACTCACCAAAGGAATCATGAAAACATGTAACTTCCTGCCCCATAATCGAGCCATTGTTGTACTTTGCAATAAACGCATCAGCGGCTTCGACTCTTTCAAACAAAACGAAACCCATACCCAAATGCTTGTTCGTTCGTGGATGGCGATATACGATAGCTTCTAGCACAGAACCAACCTTGCTGGAAGAAAAACGAGGCTAAACAACTTCAAAAATAGTTCTTTTTAATCTTAGTCAACAGAACAAAGACTGACCCACATATATCTTCCAGGAAATGGTGATTCACATTATCATTTAACCCGTATATTGAAACTTCTCGCCTAGGAGAGGGACCCACAGAATTGTTATCAATCTAAACAAAATTATTCTTAGCTTTGTTATTGACAAAAGTACTAAAAAATTCTCTTTAAGTTAGACAAAAAAAAAATATGACCACTAATTAACAAGAAAAAAATTAACTCTAATTACTAAACAAAACGCTATAAAATGACCAACTTCGAAGACAGGAACTGCCAAGTCTGCCGGTTCGACAATTTTATATCGAGAAAGCCTGTTCCGCGGATCAATCACAGAATGCACATTGTACTGAAGCAAAAGAGTAAGAAAAGAATGCTTACACCAGAAAAATACAATAGTTTTACAAACAATACCTTTGGTTCTTCCTTGCAAAAACCATCGTATCGAAAAACAGATTTCTTTGCATCCGCCCAAATCAATTTCCAGCTTACGTAATGCCCATGATGAGTTTCTCCGGAAGTCCCTGCAACAGCTCGGTGCCGAACAGATGTCGATGGAGTCGAAGGCGACGCATCCTCTGAATTTAAAAATAGTTTAAACAACAGTACTATCTTCTACAGATATTTTCTATTCAATAACGATTTGACAATACCATTAAAAAGCAATCCCAATCCAAATTAAACCGAGAAAGAAATTATAATGTATAGAAGTAAAGAAGACTATGTTACACAAACCGTTTGAAAAGAATACGCCGCCGTGATGAAGGTCCATTTAAAGGAGCTTAGCGTCACTGAAGATTTTTGAACGCCAAAGCCACATAAAGGACGCAACTCTAAAATTTACAAAAACTAGCAAACTCAAAAAAAACTGAGCATATATTGATTAACAAGGTTATCAAGAAGTCTTTAACAACATAAAAATAAGCCTATGACGACAACAAATAATTCGTATAACTGTTTTCTACACCACTACATATCCTGCAAAAGATCTATTCTTATATATTACAGCAAAACGAATTCATACACTCCTAACTCCCAATAAGCAAAATTAAGCTATTGAATGCTACTCATTTTTGAAAGACGTCGAATGTTTGTCATGATGTCCATATTTAAACATCAAAAACTCAATGTATTTACGAAAACTTAAAAAAAATGAATGAAATATGACTTGAGTACAGCCAAAAGTAAAAGGTTTAATTTCTGAATAATAAGGTCGGAAGAAAAGGGAATGCGCTCAGTTAACGTGCTTCTCACAAAATAATAAAGTCATTTAGATAGAGTTTCAAAATTAGGAAAAACTTAAACTTTATTCCGCCCTTTAGATTTGCCGTCTTTAAATGCGAAAAAGAATTAATGAGCTGAAACCAAGCCAACATTTGAGATAATAACAACCTTCTAGTATCACAAGAAATAAGACAACACCCTTATTGAAGCTGAGAAGTATGCAAAAACAGATACGGAAAAACAAGGTATTCTTCACTATTTTTCAAAATAAAAGATCTGTTGTAACTAAGCATATCTACAACACGCACAAACAAATAAGTTGCCCCACATTTTAGCACATTAAGAATCACGTATGATTTATTAAAGTTCATTTGATCGCACCCAAAAAAGAGAAAACTAATGCTTAACAAATTGCATCACAATAAGTTCAAATTTTTTCAAAGCTAAAATTATTCCAATCTTGCATCACCAAATATCCGATGAAAAAGGAGTGAAAGATTCATCTTCATCCTGCGCGCTCAAAATAAAGCAATTGACATCAAAATTAACCCCTAACTACTGCAAAACACACAAGGGTGCGAGCTGCCACTTCACAGTGTTGCCGACAGATGCTTCTACATAAGGTCAAAACTGAAATAAAAGATTATCTAAAATAGACAGCTCGTCTTTTGGTTCGGTTCATTCATTCATTAAAAAGTCGTAGAGAACGAACTAAGTTGAATAAACAGACTGCCACTATATTACCAAAAATAACCTGCAACAATCAGAAAACTACAACAAAGAAAAAAGAACGAAAAACAAACAAGTAAATAAACAATGCAAAGAGAGCTAATAAAACAATAACAACTTGGGAAGGTAATGGAACAGATGTAAACAAAGTTCAGATATACGCAAGAACTTTGACTGATGTAGTTCAACGTGAAAAACGTTGGATAAAATCCAGATGAACCCTGCGAATGCAAAAAAGAAAAAAAAATCGACAGTCAAATACGAACAATGGCGCGAAATTGACGTTAAAGTAGAGAATCGAGAAGCACAATTTCTTTCGCTTCTGAGCAAATGCTTAGTCATATATCGGATGCCGATATATGTCCATTTCTGCCCATAACGTAAAGACACAGACACACACACTCACATACACACGGACACACAAACAAACAAACAAACAAACAAACAAACAAACAAA